TGGATTACCCCTTGTTGGGCTTATCAATAGATGAGCCTCATATATGAGTCCATAACATTACTGTTCCTCAAATTGCTTCTATCCTGTAAGCTAAAATTTGAGGTCACACTAGGAGAGTGTACTACTAAAAAAATAAAACTACAAAATTTTTTAAAGGAGTTTCAAAGTTTTTTCAAGACGAGACAACTATGGTTTTTTTTTTATATAAAACTGCATGACCCGTCAATTTTCATGACCCAATCGGATCATCGGTTTCAACCGGGTCCGATATGTGGATAGTTCGATACTTGACTCGAACCGATCTGATGATCGATTCGTTGAGTTCTAGGTCGACCCATATGGCTCAATTCAAGTCTAATAACACTGATATTTAATCTTCGTAACCCTTCATTTTCAATATGTGGATTTATTTTTTTATGTGGCAGATGTCGTGAATAGCATTTGTAGCAAAACAGGCATTTATTATTTTTGATAGGGTTAAGTGTTTGTCATTTTTGTGTGTGGTAAATTGACTATAATTACTTCTTTGTGGTGAGTCAGCGCCTGACTATCCCCATAAGTTTCAACTCTTTGATTCGGCTATGAGACTAATCCCGAATTGAAGCTTAGTCATATTTATAGCTCTTTGTCCCTCCGTAAAGATGTATTTGGTGAAAATTGAATACAAGTTCTCTTCCCACTCTACTCAGCCTGTGTTGCAATACATTCATTGAGTAAGTGTTTATCATTTTAAATGACACAATGTTTCGGTACATATTTTGTGATTTTTCTTACTCACTCATCCACAAAATCAGGATGAGAGAGAACATAAAAATCCATCAAAACTCATTCGCTTTTACTTAAAATAACACTAAATTATGTTATTTAAAATGATAAATATTTTTGATTTTTTGATTTTTTTTAGATTTTTTTCTTAATTATTTTGGGACAGATGTCCCAATGTATAATTCTCAAAGTCTTTAGTTGCTTTCTCAAATCTTCCCCCACTTCGTTTCCTCTAGAGTAAATACCATTTTCGGTCCTAAGCAAATTTTACGATGCCCGTTTTAGTCCCTAGCAAATAAAAAAGCTATTCGTGGTCCCTAAGAAATTCAAAATGGACCCATTTAGTTAAAATCGTGGCCGCTCACAAATTCAAAAAAGACCCACATTAGTCCTTCAAAAGGAGTAAAATGGGTCCACTTTGAATTTCTTAGGGATCACGAATAGCCTTTTTATTTGCTAGGAACTAAAGCTGGTTTCATAAAATTTTCGAAGGACTGAAAATGGTATTTACTCTTTCCTCTATTTCTGTTTAGGATAAATGGGGAATGTTTTCGTTTTTATACCAGTTGTTTCTGATTAAATAGAATTGTTATATGATATTCTTACGTACATATACTATTTGAAGCGAGTTATTGTTTATGTATTAATTATTGATTTCATAATTAGAATCAACAACCCATGCTTTAGTGATCAAATATAATGGCAGATTATATATTTGAACGTTTTTTATGTTCTAGGAAATAAAATTATTTTCTACGTATATAATTATTTTCTACGTATATATATATATATATATATATATATATATATATATATATATATATATATATATATATATATATATATATATATAAAAGTGTATGGCATCTATATGAGATCAAATGAAAAGAAGAGAGATAAAAAGAAAATATGGACCCCACATGTAACACCTTGTGTATACTCGATTTGTTATCATGTCATCGTATTAAGTTTTGCTTAATTAAAAATGCGGAATAAACTTTTTCTTTTCAATTATGACGTCATTAGTAATTACCAAGTTGATTACTTAATCCTTTTTCAAAATAATGCTCGTACGTAAATTGCAACAAAGGCTAAATACACTGAATAACCTCATTACATAAATAAGTGAGTATTTAAGTCATGGAACTACAACACGTAGTCCGGACCATAATCCTAGTACAATTATACAACCCAATACTAAACTAAGCATAGTTAATCAATGTGGCATGAACAATCTCCATGCTCACCAAATAAGGCAACAACGCCAAACAGAGTCTCAACAACAACAACATCATAATAAATATAAAGCAGGTCAGCATCCAAGCATATCATCATAAAAGCATAAGTCTCAACTCAGCTCCGGCCTCCTGCCGCCCGAGGTATCAACCCCAGAGTTACCTGAACCTGAAATATGTGCCCCAAACGTGGGGTGAGATCTCTAAACAGAAATCTCAGTAAGACAAGGGGTCCTCACGAATTTCTCCACCCCAAGCTCACTTACATGTGCAATATAAGTTCAAAAGCAATAATATAATATAAGTTCCAAAATCAGTGCAATGCAGCAGAATAATCATGTCATGTGTGTCAACTATTCTACTGGCCAGAGAAATGCAGGATTTCCATACGTCTATTACCTACAATCAGTGAAAGTCACTGCTTGCACCCACCCACAGAATCACCCTATGGTATGTCTCCTATATACACAGGGTTACCGTCTAGGTGGAACAACACAGGCATATTATAAGCACTTGCACATAACAACTCAACAACATTTCAAATATAAATACATGAAAACACATCATGCATATAAGCCATCCCCCCATGGGATATGGTGGAACCAACAATGGCTAAACCGAGGACACGAAAGCTTACCTCGCAAGCTAACTATCCAACCAAGAGTCCAACCAAGTCCAAAGTCCACAAAAAGCACTCTCACAGTCTGTTTATACCAACAATCATATCAACAATCATAATCTAAAAACATATGACATAAAGACAACGCTTTCCTTTTACGTTTCATGCCATTTGGCTTCTTACAAAGCCATAAGCCCTTAATCACTTTGATTCTGACTTAGTTAATTATTACAGAGGTTTAACTTAACCAATCATGGGTCCATAAACCCATAATACAGTTCTGTCAGAACAGAACCGTCACTGACTCGAAATTCCCAGAATATCCGGATATTTATCGGGGGCATATTCGGATATCCATATCCGGATATCTCCAACCCCATATCCGGATATTTCCAACCCCATATCCGAATATCCATATCCGGATATCATATCCGGATATTTCGCGACAGAATGCAGATTTTGCATTTCGCGAAGATATCCACCAAAGGTTGCGTTTTTAAGGTTTCCAGACTTCAAACATGCACTTTTAATTGTGTTTCACTTTACCAACCCTTATGTTATCAAGTTTCACTTGTTACATTCACCAAGGTTCAATCTTTCCAAAGAAAATTCAAGAACAAAGGTGGTGAAGCTTACCCAAGACTCAAAACTCAGAAAAAAGGGTGCTCTTGGAGCTCTCAAGTCAGCTCCAAAGGTCTGACTCCACAAAGACACGAAAATGCCAAGCAAGCAAGGTCCTTTCTCAACAAAAATGGTTTCTTGAAGCCTCACAAGCAAGGAACAATGGCTCCACAACTCCCAACCAAGGTGGCAGTCCTACACTCTGAAGACACAACCTACTCAACCCGCAAGACTTCATTTTTCACTCACTCAATGCTTGATCACACTTAGTTATGGAGTTTTGGTGAAGAAGGTATGAAGAAATGCCACTTGAAAGGCTATGAAATGGTGAAGAAGGGATTCAACAACCAAGGGGATCAAACTCTCACGTAGAAGACACTAAGAATTAACCTAGGTCTTTGTGCCAAAGGTTATTTATAGGCATTTAAGTTTTAAGCACACAGTATTAGCACTAATGGCTACGCTTAGCATTTTAATCCCAAACTTAGAATTTTGAACCTAGCCATTTTCTAAGATTTGTCATATTTTTATTTTATTTTTCGCAGCATTTTTTCGGTACGCGCTTTTACTTAGTTAGTATCAGTTCTAACACCAGTTCTCATTATTTTAACTTGAAACTTGTTATGCTAGTCCTATATATTATTCTAGTGACATATACATATTTTTCATAATTTTTCAGTATACTTCATCGGTACGCATTCATACCGTGAGGCAGAACCGGTATCTGCATTTTTCGTCAGAAAAATGACTTTCAACATTATTAATCAATTACCATAATTATTTAAGTTTTCTCATAATTATTAGGGTCAATTATGAAATTATCTCATTAATCTCATAATTAATTAATTAAATTCCTAATTTAACGGTGCGGGTTCTTACGCCACACACTTTTATGTATTTATAAGAGATAAATTTATTTCCTATAATATTAAAAACATTAAACAAATAAAATTATTAACTACGTCATTTTGTTTATTAATTTTCTTATATTAAATGATTCACCTTTGAATGATTATGATTCTTTTTTTTTCTCTCTTCCTTTATCACCATTGATCAATCTTTGTACAATTATGATTTAGTGACTGAAGATAAAGTTATCTCAAGTAGGCTTGAGAAACGATAAGCCTATATAGAAAAAAATATTTCTCAAGCTACTTGAGATATATTTATCTCCAGTCACCCAAAAACTATGTCGTTTTGTTTATTTATTTTCTTATATTAATTGATTTACCTTTGAATGATTATGATTTTCTTGTTCTCTCTCTTCCTTTATCATCCATCTTTGTACAGTTATTATTTAATGTCAGGAGATAAATTATCTCAAGCAGATTGAGAAACGATAAATCCATATATATATATATATATATATATATATATATATATATATATATATATATATGAGAAAAATGTTTTTGCAGTTAATGCAGATAAGTTATTTGCATTTATTCCCAAAACGACGTCGTTTTGATATTGAAATCTTAGAAAATTATAAATATAAAGACTATTATAACCCTGAAATAAATTAAAATTACAAAAACACCATGATTTTCGTCCTAAAACGACGTCGTATTGGGCTTACTGCAGATAACTTATTTGCAGTAACTGCAGAAAAAGCGAACCCTATATATATATATATATATATATATATATATATATATGTGTGTGTGTGTGTGTAAGAAAATGTAACGAGAAAGTTAAAACGAAAGGAACAATATTATTGCAATCAGTAAAAGGACTGCGAGATTTTAAAAATTGAACTTTGTTTAGTAAATAATGATAATCAGTTGGACACCCTCAAAAAAAAAATGTGAGCAGAGAAATGAAGCATATGAGATGATCAGAAAAGAAAGAAGGCATTGAAATCCCAAATATGCAAAATTTGTTGATATCAGTGCAACTGCACAGATGGTGTTTTCTTCTTTAAACTGAGGAATGGTGTGAACATTAAGAGCACTCCAATTCCTCCAGCAACATTCAGGAGAAAGAAGACCATATGGGTGCCTGCAGTTAAATGTACAACAATGAGCTTCAGGTAATCTAGCTAGCAAAAGAAAGGCACGTTCTGATATTCCAGATTATATTAACATCATATTCTACCTAAAATGATAGTTGTTGTACCAACACAACTATCCTATTGACAGAGTAAATTCACAACTAGCGAGTTTAGAACAAGTGTTATATGTCATTCTAAAGTTGCACCTTGGATTCTACAAAAATAAAAAATAAAAAAATAAAGTTGCACCTTGGAGTGTGAAAAAAAACTAAATGAACCGAATGCACAAATGAATCACATTTTTTCAAACCGGTTTAATAACCAAATCATTTTCTTCAAATCAGTTCAAAAACCAAACCTTTTTTTCAAAACGAAAACTGAACCACTTTCCCAATTCGGATCGGGTTAAAAACCAAACTTAACCATACTCACTCTTGGGTGTGAAAAAAAAAATCAAAAAAATAAAACCAAATTGCGAAGCGAATTGAATCGCACCATATTTTTCCAAACTTGTTTCAGAACCAAACCATTTTTTCCAAACTGTATCAAAAACCGAACAGATTTTTAAAACCGTTTTGGTTTGCCCGAACCGAACCACTTTTCTGGTTCCGTTCAATATAGAAAACCAAACAAAACCAAACCATGCACACCCCTAGTTGCAGCCTTTCTTTCAATTTCTATTAATCAGCATAGCTCAAGACATAAAATTTCCATATACAACAAATGAAATAGAAATCAGCTAAAACAAAATAGTTGAGCATCATACCAGGGAGGAAAGAAGCATCCAACCGCTTTTGTGACCAAGTTAATCTGCATTTACCAAGATCAGAATATGAAAACTGATTATATTATACAATTTTCAATATATCATTGTAGTCAGAAAGTATCACTGATCAATTCCAATTGCCAAACTCTGCACAAAATATTTTTTACTAATGAAACATTTGTCAACTGCTATTGGACCAGATGATTGTCAATTTCTATCAATCTGATTCACACAGAGTCAGGTATGAAAGCAATATAGAGCTATTAGTGTCAATCTTTTTATTTTATTTTTTTGAGATTTTTCTATTGGCTGATCAATTTATCGATTAGTCTGATCGACCGGGGTATGATCACAAGGATGAAAAAATTCTTCCTATCAAGTTTTTAACAGAGTTGCATGCCTAGAACTCGAACTCGAGACCACTAAGATAGAACAGCCCATGTGCTTGGTAGTTTGTCAATCTATTCCTTGTACAAAAACGACCATCTAAACTCTGCATCTTATAAAAATCTCATGTTTTGAATTACCCTTTGTAAAATAAGAGGTTACAAGATAATTCAATTTCACCTAGACTGTATGTTTGCACCTTTTGGCCAATTTGTAATTTGAGAAAGAAAGTTTAGCGGCAGAGGTGATGTTGGCTGTTGTCCTTAAGGTTAAGTTGGATTTCCCTGAACCTGCTGTTGTAGAGCCCTCCCTTGAGCTAGATAACTTACTAGTGGATGACAAAGTTCTTTTCAATGGGAGATGATGTAAAATGGGAAAGTATTTTAGGATTTTAATTTTGAAGTTAATATTTTCGATTTGAGATTATTTGTATTTAGATATTTTATCATATGTTGGAGTATCTTATTTCAGTGTAGAATTGGTTATCTTATAGTGATGTTTGATTACGTTGGATCTATATATAGACATCATTGTAAACATTTTGAACTTTTTTTCTCAAAAATCACTCCTTATTAAATCCTGACTAGCACAGTATGGGTGGGGGCAATACTTGTACGTAGTTTTATTCTTACCTATTTGTAAAGTTGTTTTCTGGGTTCGAACCCATAACCTTTCCCCAAAATATTTGAAGTTTTGCAACCACTAAGATTCGAACTCATATTAGGTGGATGGACACTGCAGCACTTTTTTCCTCATAATTGTACAATATTATGATCTCTTTTCTATCTAAAACCCAAGTTAAAGGAGTACTTTACTCTAAAGGAGGTAGGTTTATTGCTTAAATCTCAATTAAAATATTGATCCCCTACAGAGATCCAAATACACACTTATGAACAATGAAAGATAAGCAAAGTAAAAGCTAAAGAAATCAAAGGGACACTCACATTGCACCTCCTCCAGCAGGGCCAATTGCTTTGAATATTGACATAGTAGTCATAGAAATGCCATTAGCTGCCCCTCTTTGATGTTGTTCCTGTTTTCCAAATCAACAGGGAAAATATGCCACAATTCGATAAATATAATCTCAATTTTTTGAAGGAAATAAAATGTAGAATGGAACAAAAAATTTACCACTGCTCTATTTTGCAGAAGGAATAAACCAGTTATAATGGTCACCTAAATCCAGCAAAAAGAATACAATCAGGCAAGCTTTTAATGCAGATAACCATGGTTATAATACTAGTATAGGTTTTGTGAAAATTCTAAGAAGAAAAGGTTTCATTAAATTGTATTGCAATAAGGAGATGATACATGTATAGATACACATCATTGATTGAAAAAGAAAATAAAATAAGAAAAAAGGAAACTAAACAATCCTAAATAAAAACAAAAATAAACTGATCCTAATTGATTGAATCCTATCAATTAGGGATTTGATAAAATCTCTTAATGAATGGAAATAATCTTAAGATTTTCTACATCCCCCCTCAAGTTGGGCCCTCAAGTTGGGAGGTATATGTTGATCATTCCCAACTTGTCAATCAGGTCTTCAAACACCAGTCTTTGTAGGACTTTAGTAAGGATGTTTGTTGCTTGCTCTTTGGTAGGAATGTACGTCAAACACACCCCTCCATCATCTAGCTTTTCTTTGAAGTTGCGGTCAACTTGCACATATTTTGTCCTATCACGGTGAACATGATTTTGAGCGATGTTGACAGCAGCCTTGTTATAGCAGTATAGTTTAGCTAGTAGGGAATAAGAGATCTTTAATTTCTCAAGAAGTCTTCTCAACCAGACTCCCCTCGCAAACTCCATGTGCTAGAGCCCGAAAATCTGCCTTAACACTACTTCATGCAACTATTGTTTGTTTTTTACTCCTCCCAGTCACAAGATTGCCCCACACATAGGTGCAATAGCCTGAAGTATATATTCGGTCCACTGATGAACCTGCCAAATCTGCATTGGTATAGATTTCAATCAACATCTTGAACCCCTTTATGAAGAATAGTCCTCTGCCAGGAGTGTTCTTGAGGTACTTAAGGATCCTGTGTGCAACACCCAAGTCTTTCCCTAGGTGAGTGCATGAATTAGCTAACCATGCTTACTACAAAACGTAATGTCAGGTCGAGTGTGGGATAAATAAATCAGTTTTCCAACCAATATATGATATTTTTCCTTGTCTACCTCTTTTCCATCTTCAATTCCCAACATAGTATTAGGTTCCACAGGGATCTCGCCTGGTTTTCACCTTATCATGCCTGTCTTCTGCAAAAGATCAAGGATACACTTCTTCTGAGTAATAGTGATTCCTGACTTGCTCCGAGCAACTTTCATTCCAAGAAAATACTTAAGGTTTCCAAGATCCCTAAGTTCGAATTGGTCTGCTAGATACTTCTTCAAGAAATCCAATTCCTAACAATCATCACTTGTAATAATTATGTCATCCACATAAACAGTACGGATAGCAATTTTACCATTTGTGGAGTGCTCGTGGATGAGAGTATGATCAGTCTGTGCTTGGAAAAAGCCTTTCCCCTTGACTGCCTAAGTAAATTTTTCAAACCATTCTCTTGGGGATTCCTTAAGACCGTATAGAGGCTTCTTCAACTTACATAGCAACCTATTTTCCTTTTCAAAACTAGGCGGAGGATCCATATAGGGTTCCTCATGCAAGTTACCATTTACGAATTCATTCTTCACATCTAGTTGTTGTATGGGCCAATCTAGGTTAGAGGCAAGAAATAAGAAGACTTGAATTGTGTTGACCATGGCAATTGGAGCAAAAGTCTCCTGATAATTTATTCCAAGAAGAGGATCCATATAGACTTCTTCATATAGGTCACTATTTAAGAATTCATTCTTCACATCTAGTTGTTGTAAGGGCCAATCCAAGTTAGCGCCTAAAGATAAAGAGGACTTGAATTGTGTTAACCCTGGCAACTAGAGAAAAAGTCTCCTGATAATCTATTTCATATTTCTGGGTGAATCCCTTCGCAACCAACTTGGCCTTGTATCTATTTCATTTTTCCTCTCAGTAATCTCACCGTTTCCCAGGTTCCATTTCTCTCTAGGGCATCCATTTCTTCAAGGACAACATTTCTCCACTTTGGATCATCAAGGGTTTCCTAGATGTTTCTTGGTATTTTCTTACTGCCTAATGCAGTACTATAGGCACGAAAACCTGGAGACAACTTCTCATAGGAAATATAATGAGAAATAGGATGAGCAGTACAAGATCGAATACATTTTCTTAAGGCAATAGGCAACTGCAGATCAATTGTGTCATGAAATACAGGTGCTTGATTGAGGGAACTAGAACTCGAATTACAATCTTGGTAGTCTAGAGGTTCTAGATTATTTTCCCTTTGAGGATCCTTTCGCCAGTTTCTCCTACTATAAACCAAAGGCTAAATAGCTCCTCCTGTCTCCAATAAAAATCGTAACATTGCGCAATCTCCTTCTATCTCCAATGGTAATGGTAGTGGTATAATTAGGTTCCATAACTTATCTTCATTTTCTTCTACAGAAGACTCCCCCTGAAGAGAAGGCAGAGGAGAAAAGTACTGTGGTTCAAAAAAAGTGACATCAATAGACACAAATACCTTTCGTAGAGAGGGCAAATAATAATTGTAGCCTGATTGAGTAGTAGAGTAACCAATGAATACACACTCAAGGGAATTATGATCAAGTTTGGATCTCTATGAGTAGGAATATAGACAAAGGCGATACATCCAAACAACTTGGGAGGAATAAATGAAATGGCCCAGAAGGAAGGGACGGGGTTAACAAGGAGAGATATTGGAGAGTGAAACTAAAGGATTTGAGAGGGCATACGATTGATAAGGTAAGAGGCAATGAGGATTACTTTCCCCCACAAGTATTTAGGGACATTCATGGTGAACATAAAGGCACGAGCAACTTCAAGAAAATGGTGGTTTTTTCTTTCGGCAGTACCATTTTGCTGGGGGTATTAGGGCGTGAACTTTGATGAAGAATTCCATGTTGCGTTAAATACTCTCCAAGGACAGAGTTGAAGTATTCTCTGCCATTGTCTGTACGAAGAATTTTTACGGAAAATTGAAATTGATTTTGGATCATGGTATGGAAGTTTTTGAAAGTGTGCTCAGCATCTTATTTATCCTTAAGGAGGTACACCAACACACATGAGAGTGATCATCGATAAATGTGATAAACCACCTTACACCTAAAAAAAAAATTCACAAGTTAGGCCCCATGGATAAAAGAGGATAATTCTTTGTAAGGTCTAGAAGGATAATTAACACGAGAATGTTTGGCAAGTTGATAAATATCACATGAAAACAAACTGGGATCTTTATTGATAAACAAGTTTGGTAACAACTTCTGAAGATAATTGAAATTTGGGTGGCCTAACTTATGGTGCCAGAACATAACATCAGTATAAGAATCAGAAGTAAAAATAGTATCACTTTCGACAAAAGCAGTTTGGTTCTCCACACGAGTCACATTCTCAAAGTAATAAAGCCTTACGTCCTCACTAGAGATGCCAATCATCTTCTTTGAGTCATATTCCTGAAATACACAACCATTGGCAAAGAATTTAGCAACACAATTCAACTCAGAGGTCAGTTTGCTAATAGAAATGAGATTGCAAGCCAGACTAGGAACATGTAGAGCAGAAGTCAATTGAATTTGCTCTAAGAGTTTAACTGATCCTTTCCCAACAATTTGAGAAAAACTGCCATTTTTAATCGAGATGGCTCATGACAAGGAGTATAAGAACAAAACAATGTGGGATTACCTATTATACGCTTAGAAGCCCCAGAATTAAGTATCAAACGAGTACTATTGTCAACATGGAATGCAGTACCTTGTTGAACCATGTTACTAGTGGCCATAGTGGGCTGATTCAAAAGCCTCTACAACTATTCAAACTGGGCGTTGCTAAGGAATACACCTCTGGAGTCACTTGCGGCGAAACACTCCTCTGCCTAGTCCTTTACCGAGGTCTGGTATGCATGGCTTTTATTCTACCCTTTTCGTTTCCAATTTGTCGGTTTCCCATGTATCTCCCACCATTTTTCACGGGTGTGTCCACCCTTATTAGAATGTGAACATCAAGGGCAGTCATCACGTTTGAATCTCCAGATGAACGATCAATTGATCCTTTAGCAGCTAGGGCAGGCACATCCAATGTCCTCGCCTTTGACTAGCTTCGCTTTGTACCTCGACAAAGGCATTAGCAAGGGATGGTAACAGCTGTCCCAGTATTCGCCCACGAACATCATCAAGATCACAATTGAGGCTAGCAAGAAAATCATACAGCCGCTCTTTCTCCAAATGTTTTTTGAATTTTATATCAGCTTGTAAGCCTCCAAAGTCAGTGGCATAGTGAAGGTCTAGTTCTTGCCACAGATTTTGTATTTCATTAAAATATTCAGTAATAGTCATACCTCCCTAATGTGGGTCCTTTAACTTGTTTTTCAATTCAAAGAAGCGTTCTCCAGATCTGAATAATTTTGCTCGACCGTATCCCATATCTCCTTAGCAGTCTTGAGAAACTTTGCGGCTCCATGGAATTGGTTAACCAAACCATCACCAATGAGTTATTGATCTCTCAATCTTCATATTCAGATTCATTCTCAGTCAGCTTCTTGATTTTTCCGTTGATATAACTCATTTTTCCATTAGCACGGATAACCATTTTGATAGATCGTGACCATTATGGAAAGTTTTTGCCATTTAATCGGGGAGTGGTAATTTGGAGCCTAACGTTATCTCCAGAGGATTACAAATTCAGGTTAGGAGATGAAGCGGAAGAGTTTAGGGATTAAGTCATTGAACAAGTGTGAGATACATGGAATGACCCAAAATTCATCTAGCTCATTTAGTTTAGACACATGTAACAGAAACAGGAGGATCCGACGATTTGAACGATGCAAATGACTGTCAAAAATTCCTCCGGCACGGCAGTGCATGAACGTGCTTCTTTCAATGGTGACGGGCGGATGGTTTATGGTATTAACATATATATATATATATATATATATATATGTATTTTTTTATCAAGCTGAGTTAAACATGCAATTTGTTAGAGTTGTTAGTAGCTGTTAGTTAAATCAATTTCTTCTGTTCTTTTACTTTCATGCACGTGTTGAGTAGTTAGTTAGATTCACTGTGCATATATATAACACTCTTGTATCAGATGAAAGTAATAATGAGAATTCTCCATTTTTCTCAATTCAAGATTCTCAGTTTTCTCTCAACTTGGATGGTATCAGAGCTCATCTAGAGCTCTGGTATTCATCGTTGTTCCAACCTCTTCTTTCTTCTTCTTGATTCTATATCAGAATTTTTTCTGATCTTGCAAAATGACTACAGCAAACCAAAGCTCAACCATTCCCAATGAGAATCCTTCTGCGATGAATTCTAAGAAGAGGATCATTTAATTGAGTTGCAATAAGGAGAAGATATATGTACAAATACACATCATGTGTGATTGAAAAAGGAAATAAAATAAGAAAAAAGGAAACTAATCAATCCTTAATAAAAACGGAAATAAAACTGATCCTAATTGATTGAATCCTATCATTTAAGTGCACATTTAGCATATGTTAGAATGTATTATTATATATGGTCAACAGTGATTGTTGTTGACCAATTATTAGACTACTGATGTATCGTAATTATTATCACTCATGATTGGTTAAATAAACGAAGAGATTCACTTACAGTAAGAATATTTTTCACAACCGAAGCAATATTTATCACTAGGTTCAGTGTGAAGCCTGACAACATTGCAATGAAGGGGTAACTTTGCAAGAGAGGTATAGATAACACCTACATAAGGTGCCAAGATAACAACACATGTTTAGAACAACAAACAATGAAATTCTTAGTTACATTAATACTACAAAAGGCGAAAGCTTACCCCAGTGACACGAGCAAATCTAACAGGTCCAAAAGCTTTTTCCAATGATGGGTATAGGGAAAGCTGGTATATTATTAGACTAATACCTGACCATTGACAAGTTGAGAAGAAGTCATTAATTAAGCAGCATATCTTTAGAAAACAATGCACAAACAAAAAATGTATATCTATATCACTATGCATACCCAAAGGAATAAAAATTTAATTAATTATCACTCACAATATGATTTCCTTACATAAAAAATATTTTTCCTAATTTTATAAATCCAAATAAGCAAAATTCACTGGACAAGACCAGTTAAGAGGAAATATCTTGAAGGAAGTTACCATATGGCATCATGTACATTGATAAAAGTATGTTTGGAATCATTTGAGAAATATAGTTAAACACGTATGCCCATAGCATTACTAAATATTTAGGAACGCATAGATGTCAAAGATATGTACCTGTTATTGCAAGAACATTACCAACATTATCAGTTGTGAAGCTCAAACCTCCCAACCTTCGAGGACTAACAGCCCATAATGAGAAAACCTAACAAAAAGTAGAATAGTGTTCACTTTACATAAGGAAAAGGACGTGTTTTTGAAGGTCATAAACTTATATTTTTTTTTAGCAATTTTCAATTGCATTTTCGGAAATGTATAGTTAAAATATTATTTTTTTTACTTTTCACTTCAGCAGACAGCTTTTGAAAATAAAAGAAAAAATACAACTTTAATATTATAATTATGTATTCGTGCGAATGCATACTAAAAAAACACAAGATATCCTAGACACTTAGATTAAACATCAGTTCTACATTAAAAGAACAAGATATCACGATAAAAAGATGCACGGATGGGTAGGAGAGAAAAGTCTAAATATATAGCATACATCGAACATGTTTGGATGTGTTTTTTCCTTTTTTTAAATAATAGTGTTTTTCACTTTACGTGTGTATTTGGATGAAACCTTTGAAAAAAAAAACGGTAAATTAATATTTTTTGTAAAGCTAAAATTCCAATACAATCCCTCCAAAATCCAATTTTACCCTTAACCAAAAACCTAAATATGTATATTTTGACTATGGGGCAGGTTATATTTACAAACTTTTTTGCTTACAAACTACACTATATTCTCTCGAGAGAATACAAACTTTTACAAACTACACTATGTTCTCCCGGGAGAATATAGTGTAATTTGTCAAAAAATTCAAAAAAGTTTGTAAACGGATCGTGTCCCTTTGACTATTATATGTTCTTTTTAGTAATTTTATACATAAAAAGTATTTATTTATTTTAACTTACAAATGACTATTTTACTTAAAAATACTAAATAGTATAATCCGTGAGAATTTGTAAATAAAATTTTTATAAATATAACTTTTCCGATGATATATACCTCTTGATAAGCAGCATCATGAAGTGAGTAGATACAGTAAACAATGATAGATGACATTAAGGGCCAGTTTAGGAAGAGGTTTTCATCTTTTTGGATTATGTTGTATTTGTCAGCCCCACTGCTTCCTTTTTCTAAAGCTTCAGTGTCTTCAGTGGACTCACTGCTTTGAGGGTGGTTGTGTAGTGTTTCCTGCAGTGATGCCGGTATTTTTAAAGCAATTTATTGATGGAAAAGAAACAATATATATATAAAAGGAGAAGGAAAAGTAGGGATGAGTAAAAAACTTTAAGCAAAAATGGTGCTACATTATGAGATATCATCATGACAGCATTAAAGAAAAGTTACAAAAAAGAGAGGATAGAGATATCAATGATTAATGGACATATATAGATATATATATGTTAGAAAAATAAGGACCGCAGAGACTTAAGGCACGTGAGGGTGGGTCAACCTTATGGAGCATAAACCCCCAACATTGTTTAGGTGTCTAGGAGATTTGTCAGTGTTGAAAGAAGTGAACCAGTTAATGACATAAAGGAAATTGGTGTCAGATGAATCTGGATGAGGCTCAAAATAAAAATGAAGCATTATGCAAACAAAAACAGAAGATATGTTAGTGGGAATTTGTCTATCTAAAGATTCAACCTTACAAATCCAGGTCTTTAGCCAAGAATGTGAACTAGAAGTTGGGCCTGAGATTCTACGGCTCAGAAGATTGGGCAAGATGCAGATATTTCATGACTCAATGTGTTATTTTAACACAATCATGTCAAGTGAAAAATTGTCTCTTTAATGACAAATCAACGTGTAATAGTTAACATGACCCTTTAATACCCTTTCATCTTCTGTGTTTTATGATGTATTTTGGGAAAGGTAAACAAGGAAGCTAACGTGTTCCTAGGAGTGTTTTGTTACCATATAGGAATAATTTCCTAATATTATCTTTATTTTGAGAGCTTGGAGTAGTGATAAAGTTTTATCTTTGTCACGAGTTCAAATCTGGAAAACAGGATCTTTGTTAATATGCAAATGTAAAACTATGTATAAGATTGTCCTAATGGGGGTTTAAAGGGGAGTGATTGATCTTCATTTTTTGTAAGAAGTAAAACTCTTGAGAGACCAAGTGAATGAAATGAAAAAGAAGGACTGCAGAGACCTAAGGCATATGTGCATTGAGGGAGATGGAAAATACTCCCTATGATAGCAGAATTAGTGGGAATAATAATAAAGACCATTTTTGTTTTATCAGTTGTCTTTTCTTTAATTCTGGGTGCTAGCTACTAAACCAGAGAGGACCTATTGTCATTCAAACCTCTATTTATTACTGATACCATATCAAATTCAGTAAGAGAATAAAGGGTTTTTTGGGTGGTAAATCAATAACAAAGCACATGTTTTTCCATTATCCTGTCAGATACATACCGGAAGCCAGATGCTGGCAATTGCTACTACAAATGCAAATACTGATATCACAAATGAGGGCAAGAAGTATGGAAACCTGCATTGAGATTTATGTTTCAACCAATGACAATCAGCACATCAAGAAAGCAAAAATGTAACTTTGAAGATAAAGGTTGGGAAGAAGAAAATTGAATCCTTGAATTTTACAAAATTACAAATTAGGAAAAATACACTTACTTATCCCAAAAGGAATCCTTTGGAAATAGATGTGGGTATTTCTCAACTGGCTGCAATACCAAATTCCCAAAATATTAGGAAAAAAACTTGAAAGAGTGTAAATTTATTATACACGAAGGACTTCAAAATTTTTTATTTCCAGTCCTTAATTTAAATATCTAAAAATTCAGGCATAAGCCTTTGCAATATACATTAATTTGGGGATTAACATGGAATATTAACTCATGTCTTTTAAAACAAGTCATGTTATGTCCATGTGCAATATCCAAGGCTATTCTTAAGATGTCAGTTTCACTTATGAAGGAAAAGAATATAGAAGAACCTGAGCCAGATAACCTCCCAGTGCTGGCCCAATGATCAAACCTATGCCCCAAGCTGCACTGAACTGAAACCATATCACATTTTGAATTATTATGATGGAACCCCCATTGGAGACTTATGTTTCTAAGAAATTATAGTAAACAAAGGATAGGGAGGCTTACAGTTGAGAGTCCTAGAGCTTGGTGTTCTTCTCGAAAAATTTCGGAAGAATAAGCCTGTTAACAGAGGAGGTTATGACATACATATATTTTAGAAATCAATTAGTTATGAAATATAAAACCATTAGTATGGTCTTCACTTAACAGTTTAAAATTTTAAGTGAAATGGGTTTTTACATGGTATCAGAACTTCTGTGACCAAGAGATCACGAGTGCCATAGAAAAATAAACCCATTAATATGGCCTTAACGTAACAACTTTTGCTTTTAGGTTGAATTAGTTCTTTACACAACTGATAGTCCTAGTCTACAAATTCAAATTTACAATTGTGCCCTGATGTTGGTGGATTGGTACCTTCATTGGTCCAAGCAAACCATTCAAGCTTCCAAGAAGAAATCGCATAATAACAGCCATCCAAAAACTTGTGCTAAGGCCAAATAGTGTGTTGAAGATGATGCTGGAATCATGTAAACAACATTGTTATTATGGGAAAACATGTAATATAACTTGAAAGAAAGTATCCACTTCATTGACATATATACTTACACAAAAATAATCCCTACAATCACAACAGGTTTTCTACCATAGCGATCAGCTATTATTCCCCACAATAAAGATGTTATGGCTCTGCCAAGCATGAATGCAGATCCTACAACATTTTTGCAGTCGTGTGAGGATCAGAAATAAGGAACTTAAGTTGATAGAAGACATCAAAGAATTGAAGTACTAAAGTTAATCTTACCCACATAACCAGCATATCCACTTATATCTTCCTCTCTTTCTGCAATATTAAAATCGCTTACCTAAAAAAATATACATAAATATGTTCATATGTTGCCTTATTGAGGATATTTATTATGTGAAGCAGTAATTAAGGTCAATCATAACCAGATATTAATTTCTTGAGCATTTGATATGAAGCGAGAAAGGAAGAGGGTAAAGCAATAAAGCACTTAGAAAACTAACATTTGCATGTGCAAAAATTTGAAATTATCTGTTTAAATGTAAACTATAATGTGGGAGTGATCAGAAATTGTTATATTTAGGAAAAATAGTGAAGGGAACTTTTGTATATTTGAGTAAAGTTCCTCATTAATGCCCATGAGACTTAGCTGCTATTTGAAGAGAAGTTTATGTCAGTTGATGGTGCCAGTAAGCAATTATATTGTAAGGCTAAATTGAAATTTGAAGTGATATCATTATAGCTAGAAAACTCATCAATATTTATCAGGCCACACTTTATATCAATTGTTTTCTAGAATCAAAACCTCCCATTAAAATGGCTCAAGCACATCCCTATATCTGAATGTATGATGGCCATGGATATTCCAAGAAATGGACAAACAGATTTAGTTAATAGCAGTGCGAATAACTACCAAAACAGGACTGAACATTCTTCTCACAACAATTTTTTTGTTTCCTTCAAAATGGTACAAAGATTCAACACGAGTTTATCCAAGTACAGTAGACCAGCAAGATGGAACCATTTGCTTTAAAACTAATTGTTAAATATCAGAACCCAAGAGGTATGTGTTGAAATCCATGTGTTTCAACTACATAGCGGATGTTCTACTATATAATTGAATGAAAAGGAATTACAAAGAGATATACATGATGTGAGCCTTTGTCCCTCACACTAAACTACTCTATTCAACTCTGTTTACAACACTAATATCATTCAGGGTGATGTTTAAACAGTGATATAATTTCATGAAGTGATCAAAATACTTAGGAAAAGATCAAAACTGAAGAAAAATAATTAAGCAAACCAAAAGTGTATTAGTATCTGTTCCATCCATAAGTAATTGGCAGTCAATTTCAGAAAAGGATGTGCAGACAAAAAGAGTATAAACCTCCTAACTGCATTTTTAATTTTAAATAGAGAATCAAAACAGAAATTTAACTGTAAACACCCAAAATCAAATAATGTCATTTAGAGGGGTTTTAAGGCTTTTTATGAATTTTAATAATTGTTGACGATTCAGTTTACATGACTTTATGTTTGGTTTATAATTATTTCTATTTTGTATCAATTTTTAAGACCATTAATGGTCCTTTATTGTTGTTTACTTTCTGTATTGCCTAATTAAAAAGACTTGTTAGAAGGATGTGCAGGGAGACTTTTGATTCTTAAAGAATAATAATATAACAGAAAAACTTATGCATTTTCCTGAAAGCCTATTCTCCCCATAATTTTGCATCAGATATGCATCTTGTTGTAGGTAACAGTAAAGCACAGTTGGTGGTTAAACTCACCATGAAATAAAGGTAAGGCCAGAGAGATGATATAGGCAGCGCTGTACATCACAAAAACAAAAGAGCCATTAGAGATGTATAAAGAAGCAGTTTCAACAGACTCAGGATTGTGCATACATGAGAACAGAAAATTATTTAATACAGAAAATATTAGAATCAAACTCTGATTTTAGTTTCAAAACGGTAAACTAATTACACCATAACAAATTCAAATTTTTTGTGGTAGATATAACAAATTCAACTTAAATTTTCCCACACAACCCTGATAGGTGTAACTCAAAAATTTGAGCTATAAGATACACAAATTCAAATGTTCATAACAAAGATGAAACCAACATCTGAATGGGATCAGTCACCGCTACCAAGTGATTTTTCTGATTTTCTCCAAGAAAAAAATAATGAACTGAAATTATTTCCCTTAAGGATTTCTAACTTAAGAGCACAACTAGAAAAATATTAGTATTCCAATTTTAGCTTAAAGGTATTTTATATTATATTGTACTGTTTCTAAAAGTATCAGCTTTTAATGCAGTTTGTAAAAGGGGTTGTGTATTTTGCTTTAAAACCAGACACCCTCAGATGAATCTTTGCAATTTTAGCAACCACTGTTTGCACATAAAACCTCACCAAAAGTTACATGCTTACATTGCATGTTCAAACAGATATTCTAGAATGCTATCATCATCATCATCATCAAAATTTGCACTCAAAACTAAAGAGAAATTATAGGAGCAATCAGTGTGTCCAAAAGTGAAAAAACATAGTTAAATGCTTACAGCTGCATAACACGACCATCCATATGTTCAAGAGGTTTCTAAGGGAAACATCTGTTTTGAGCTCTTTGGCTTTATCCACCTTACAACCAGGGCAGTTCTCATAATAATGCTTCTTCAACAATGGCTGCCCAATATTCTCCTCTTCCATGTTTGTAAGAGAACCCGTCTCCTTGTTTCACAACAACAATAATGGCTGTGCTGTCCCTTCTATGATCCTTTTACATATGCAACATCAAACAGCGAAAAGCGCAAAAACAGAAAAGGCCTAATCAGAAAGACTTATGAAGGACAATGAATGCTTTTGCCACTACTTTATTTGGTAAGACGATTATTTTTAGATGACTGGGAAAATAAGGATGTGATTTTTAGAATTGCATGTTTAGTAGCAAATTAGAGAAAAATTTTCCGAGAAAATTATTTTTGCGGAATTTTATTTTGGGTGTATTTTCTAAATCAAAATACCATCGAAAAATATTATTTAGAAGGTGATATTTCAAGAATACAAGGAAAAATTATTATTTTGGGTGTATTTTCTAAATCAAAATACCATCGAAAAATATTATTTAGAAGGTGATATTTCAAGAATACAAGGAAAAATATCGATTAATTTTTCAGATAAAAATAAGCAAACATATTATTAATAAAATTAATCTAATATTTCTGAGAATATTTTGTCATATTAAATAACTTTTTTAGAGGCAGGTATATTTACCATCAAAATAATTTGGAAAATGTATTTCTACCGTCACTGAAGATAAAGCTATATCCACTATGCTTTGGATTATAAGATTAAAAAAATTATAATGATAAAGACTCATATAACCTGCAATATATTATAACTACAAAAACACGTTGATTTTCGTCTCAAAATATCATCGTTTTGGGCTCACTGAAGATAATTTATTTCCCTTGACTGTAAAAATCCTTTACTCAAACAATTTATGAGATTTACAACAAACTTAATCATCGTTGATTTTCGTCAATTAACGATTATAATTTATTGAAAATTATTGGGTTGTATTTATTAATTAATTATAATTCTTAATAAATTCAATAAATTATAATCGTTAGATTGACGGAAATCAACACTGATTAGATTGATTGTAAAAATGATAAATTTTTTTGATGATAAGTATATTATTTCTCTTATTTAAAAAAAAAACTCATTTTTCCATGTCCGAAAATTATAAATCTCACATAAAATAAACCGCTTAAAGAAAAAGTCATAGCCAGAGCACACACAAACATAAAGTTCATGGAGAATAGAAAGCAAAATTGACTAGGGAACAAGCAAGAAAAAAAAATAAAAAAAATGAAGGCTAGTTAATAGTTACTACCAAACACGTGGATCAACAGCGACAATCTGCAATTTTGAGTTCAAAGTCCAAAGCTGTATTACAAATTTGTATTACAAATTTAGTAAAAAGAGCTTTGATAAATTTGTGATTCTACGGCTCGAATCGAATTAGTGGAGAAATGTAAATAAAAAACTAAGGCTAGTATCAGACGTTACGTTTCGGATTAAATATAGCACATTCCAATTTGAATTAAAAGACCTGCAACAGTTGACATCATTGCACACGTCGAAGCTGTCAATTTTGGAATTCTGATGGTGAATGCTAGAAGCTGATAGTTAAGAGTTAACTTAAGACAATAAAGTGATAAACAACAACTTGTATAATAGATTAAATTTTTAAGAGAAAAAGATGTGTCATTTTAAATAACACATCTTACATTGTTTTATTCTTACAAAGAGATGGAACTCATATTTTTAAATAAATTTCCTTCCACTTTTTCACACAATTTATTTATTTCTCTTACTTAAAATGACATAACTTTATATCTTTTAAAATAATACACACTTTTTCCAATTTTTAAATAACCAAACCAGATTCCAAAGTAAATTCATAAAAAAATCATGATTTATAATGAAATTTATAAATTTTTAAAAATAACATTAGGAAATAGGAAAGATTATATTTATTATAATTATTAGGCTTACCACTCTTACTACCTATTTAATTATGGTTGGTTCAATTTGAAATTAACGATTAAAAAAGAAAAAATATTAATTATCGTTGATTTCAAATTAATCTAACTATAACCAAGTCGACAGTAGAAATGATAAGCCTAAAATAATGATAAGTATAACCTTGTTCATGCTATTATAATATGGAAGTCACATTATATTAATAAAAATTTATTATGTTATAAGAGATAAAATTATTTTATACATACATCAAAATTGTGTATGAAATCTATGTAGGGCCATGGATGAGAAGAAAAAGAAAGAGAAAAATTAAGTCTTTCACATATTTATATGTAGAAGATAATTTTATCTCATTTGATCCGAGAAATATTAAAATCATTAAAAAATTACATGTTCTAATTTTGTTTTTTTGTTTTTTGGTACAAATTCAAAAACTGCATTTATTAATGTCTGAAAAGATGAAATAAAAAACTAAAAAGCTGCAGCTGATCTTAAGTTTTAGGCATGTGTCACCAATCACGTTCAAACTTTCTCTCACTATGTCTCATTAGGTTGTGCATGAATGATTCTAGCACAAGGTATCCCATTCAGTGAAATTTATTGTACCAAGCATAGACACGTGAAAATCAACGATTGAATATAGAAGACGCTATAATAATGTGCAACAGTCCAACTGGAAACACAGGGTTTATCAAAAAAATAATTTATTTATGGGATTTGTATTTGTCATTTAACATGACACAATAAATTTTCTTACACACAACATTTTGTGGGACCCACACTTTTTGAAAAAAAGAAAAAAAAAAATTACAGCACGCAAAATGAATTTCTATAACATTATACAGTCACTTTTCCTACAATATAACCCTTTATTTATTAAAAGGCCTTTTGATCAAGACTTTTCTTAAAAATTATTCATTAATGCATTTTAAAATTTGTTTATTATTTTAGGGTGATAGCTATATGTAATAAACCGTTCTCATATGGATACCATAAAAAACAAAAAACCGTTCTCATATTTTTGTATGAATTTACGTGTCTATGCATAATCAACTTACATCATTCTAACTTTTTTTTTTTTTTTTTTGGTAAATATCATTCTAACTTTCATTATCACTCATTCATCTCGCTCGCGTTCCCGATGATTAATAAATTGGAAATCAACAATTCTCATTCATCAACAATTCTGATTTATAAGCATGTGATACTGTATATTTTTTGATCTAATGATTTTCAGATGAAATGTCAAATTTAAATTTTGACACTGATATCAAAGGATCCTAACTCATATATATATATATATATAATTCGACACCTCATCTGAGAGTCGTTAAATAAAAAAATATTAATAGTATCACATGCTTACAAATTTGACACCTCATCTAAGAGTCATTAGATCAAAAAAGATCAAAGACTCTGATTTGTAAGCATGTGATACTATTGATATTTTTTTATTTAACGACTCTCAGATGAGGTGTCGAATTTCATATATATATATCAACAATTCTGATTTATAATCATGTGACACCGTTCATCTTTTTTGATCTAACGGTTCTCAGATGAGGTGTCAAATTTAAATTTTGACACCGGTGTCAAAAGATCCTACCTCATATATATGTATATATATATATATATATATATATATATAGGGAAATGATACTTTGATACCGGTGTCAAATTTTTTTGACCTTAAATCATAACCATTGATTTTCGTCAATCAACGGATATCATTTATTGAGAATTAATAATTAATTAATAAGTTTGACTCCAAATAAATGATAATCATTGATTGGCGGAAACCAACGAATATGATTTGGTGTCAAATTTCAAAATTTAAGACCGGTGTTAAAGGATTCTACCCCCGTGTGTGTGTCTTTCTCCCCCCCCCCCCCCCCCCCCCCCACACCCACATGCACACATACATATATATATATATATATATATATATATATATATATAGGTAGTACAAAGTTATTTTTTCAATCACCTCAGTCAGTGTGTATCTTTTTAGTTTTTTACACTACTATGAGTAATACAAAGTTATAATATAAAAAATTATTTTTTTCTCTATCCACGTTAGCTAAAGTGACTGAAGAGAGAGAAAAAAAAGCAACTTTTCATATTATAACTTTGTACTACCGATAATACATCGAGTTAAAAATTAAAAGGACACAACTTGTGTCCTTAAAAAGAACAAACATTTTTTTCATATATATACATATATATATATGGGGAAGGTTATACTTACAACCTATTTTCTTTACAACCTCTTACAACTAATATCTTAAATAAAATTTATTAAATAATTATTAATTCACAATAAATCTTAACCGTTGATTGACGGAAATCAACGGTTAAGATATTGGTTGTAAGGGGTTGTAAAAGAAAATAGGTTGTAAGTATAACCTCTATATATATATGTAAAGGGTTTATTGTTTTAGTTTTTTTGTTGAAAACTTTTTTATGTTACAATTACACATAAAAATGAGTTGATCTCACTAATCGTTTTTTTTTTTATAATTGGATCCACTTACTTTTACGAGAGTTTAGTAGAAAAAAACTTCTATAATAAAAGCAAAAACATTATTCCCATACATAAAAATCATTTACATTAGTATAAGAATTGTGTGATCTACTTACATGGATCGTCATGAATTCAACATGAATAGTTAGTCGTGTAAAAACCTTTGACACTAACGCAATTTGTTTACTATACGGATTGACACGATACGACACGAATAATCCAGCAATTTTATATTTTAAATAAAAATTACTTAATTAATCTCAAATTAGTAAATAAAAATGGGGTAAGTAGGGATGACTATGTAATTATATAATTGCTTAATTTAAACAAGTTAACATGAATATGGCACCAACATAAATACTCCTAACATAAACACGATACGAATAAGAATACAAGTTTAGATCATATCTGAGAGGTCGTGTTGAAAATTATCACTCTTAACCCAAGACTCCTTTACATCCTCTTTCTTCTTCTTTGTTGTTGTTACGATCTGATAGATCGATATGTCCAATCATAGATTGGTATGTTAATGTAGGATCTGTTTGCCCTCTCTCAGGTACCTATAGGAGAGGTACCCTAAAGATAAGCGGATCACTGTGCACAATAATATAACGACATAGTCAAGGCGTGGGGTGTGTGCACAGTGACAAGCTAAGAGAGAGGGTTTAGAGTGTGTGTACCTTATTGGCTTAACCCCTTATTTATAGATAGGTTACCTGGCAGGAGTGGACTTTTGAGCCTCTCAGAAGCATTGG